GAATGTTTGTGATCATCAACTGTTTCCCCTCCAGTATATTTCTACAGCGGGGTCCCTGGACCAGAGATGGGAGGCAGTTTCGAGCTGTCCTCCATTCCTTAGACCGACAGGATGCCAGGGCAAAGCCACGATCCGCCCTGGACTCGCAGTCAGGAGCTGAGTTCACAGGGGCTTTCTTTGAGTTGGCCAGACTGCTTGCACTTTCGCTTTCCAATACTATAGATTTTAGCTGGCAACCTTTAACCTGGGAAAGGATGCGCAAAGCCAGTACAGACCCCTTCAGGGAACAGACTGGGTTCCTGACAACTGGCAGTTCCTGGACTAGTCAGCACATTGAGTCCCACGGGAGCGCCAGCGCCTGGCTTCCCACCTGCCGCTCAGCGCCTGAGCCCCTGCACAGTCTCTTTCTCCTTCACATGTGGCCCAGGCCACAGCCCTGGTCCTTCACAGCTGACCAGGTGGAGAGCAGAGACCAGAAATCCACGGGTTGTGCTAAACACAGGCACACCCCCGAGCCTGAAGTGAAGAAATAAAGACAGCTCTCTTCCACTCAGCAGGTAGTAAACCCCAGGCATCCAATCTCCCCAGATTCAAGAAGCCGGTGGATAAAAATAGGAAAGGGGCCACTCGGGGATTGAGGAAATTAATGAATAGTAAGCACATAGCGGGCTTTTAAGGACTCTGGTGCTCTCTCTCCATCAAAAATTCATCTGTTCTTAAAGCCGTAATCGTCCTCTCTTTGCTTAAATCTGCTCTAATTCATTGATTTTTATCGGGTATGGGTTTTCATGTTTGAGTATCCCTGAAGCTGGATTTGCCATTGAGGGTGCCAGGCTGAGCCAGCACCCAGCTTCTTCCTGTGGCTATAATTAGCCAGGTTCGAATCTCAGGCTCGGTGAAGTTCATTGTTGCCTCACCTTGTACCTCCAGTGACCTTTCAGGGATGACCACCAGATGTCACGTCTGCGCTCGTCAGAATCAGCAGGTTTTAAATGGTGTCCTTGCACCTTTCTCATAAAATGCCAACTACCTTTTTAAAAAAAGTATTTGTTTCTATTTCTTGTGTATAAGCATCTTGCTTGAATATATGCCTGTGCGTCACACCAGTGCCTGCTGCCTGTGGGTGTCAGAAGAGGGTGTAAGATTCCCTGAAACTGGAATTAGGGATGGTGTGAGCCACCATGTGGGTGCTGGGAACTGAATCCTGGTCCTCTGTAAGAACAACAAACGCTGAGCCATCTCCAGCTCCCTACCATTTTTAAAAATATATATCTTTTTAAAGAACTCTTTTTATTTATTTTTATTTTTATTTTTTTAATTTTTTTGAGACAGGGTCTCACTATGTAGCACTGGCTGTCCTGGAACTCACTATGTAGACCAGGCTGGCCTCAAGATCACAGAAGTTTGCCTTCCAAGTGCTGGAATTAAAGGTGTGGGCCACCACTGCTTGTCTCTATTTTTGCTTTTAATTGTGTGTGTGTGTGTGTGTGTGTGTGTGTGTGTGTGTGTGTGTGTGTGCAGTACCTGTGGAGCCCAGAAGAGGGCATCAAATCCTCTGGAGCTGGAGTTCAGGTAGTTGAGGGTGTTGGGAACCGAACTCAGTTCTTCTGGAAAAGTGGCAAGTACTCTTAACCACTGACCCATCTCTCTAGCCCCCAACTGCCTTTTACATTTTATTATTTCCATGTCACCATGTGTCTCCAGCAGGGCAGGCTCTGAAGACTCAGGGTGCCTGCTCAGAACATGCTCAGCTTCCTAAGTCTAAGCCAGGCTTGCCTCCCTTTTATCTGTTTGGATTAAATATTAACTAGATTCCAGGAAAAATAATGCTTAGAAAACACATGCAAGGTGAATATAACTATGTAATAAGAAATGCAAACAGGTTTTAATTCAAATTTTTTATCCCCCCCCCAATGAGCCCAGAGCCTCGAGCATATTAAACATTCTGCCACTGTGCCACACTTCAAAAACCCTTTAGTGCACTTATTTACTTATTATTGATGTGCATGTATGGGCGTGTGCACGCCATGGCACACCATGGAGGTCGGATGATAACCGGTGGGAGCCGGTTCCTCTTTCCATCTGTGGGACCTGCGGGTTCCGGTCGTCAGCCTTGTTTGCAGACACCTCTGCCCATGGTCATCCTCGCCCCCTCTGCAGTTATTAAAGCACCTGAAGAGCTCTGTGTGTGTCTCCTTGGACTCTGTCCTGTTTCCTACCCTGTGTTCTCAATTTTGAGCATGCTTACTTCAGTGTGTATGTTTGTGCACTTTTGTATGTACGTGTGTGTACATATGTACACATATGTGTGCTTGTGGGGAGCCAAGTGTCTTCCTCAATCAGTCTCCACATTGTTTATTTTGACTTAGGGTCTCTCTGTGACCAGCCAGCTGTTACTGGGGCTCCCCTGTCTCCACCTCCTCAGGGCTGGGGTTGCAGATGTGCACCACCACACCCAGCTTCTTATTCGGGTGACAGGACTCTGACCTGAGAGCTTCATGTGCACAGGACGGGAATGTGGCTGACTGGGTCGTGTCAGCCACGCCTGGTTCTCTTTACTGCTGTCATGTATGTCTGTGTCCTTAAAGAATGCTTGTTAAACTTTAGTGAGGAGCCACACACTATACAGCAGCTTTTGGTTTGCCTGTTTCTTTTTTTGTGGTGCTGCGGTTGGAGCCCAGGGCCACATGTGGGCTAGGTGAGGTTCTGCTGCCGAGCTCCTCCAGCCGTCCTTTCACCTCGTCAGCCGGCCTCCCTCTGCGAGCTCAGGGGTCTTCTCTACTCCGACTCCCCCGGCGCCTTCTGATCTGTAACCACCCCTACTGAATTGCCAACTTCAGTGATGGTTACTAATTGAAATCCTGTTCATGCGAGCCAGTTTCTGGCCTATTTGTTTATTTATTATGACTTTACTTTTCTTTGTGTGTGTGCATGTGTTTGCACTCAACATCTTTGTTAGCACATGTGTGTTCTGGTACCCTCAGAGGCCAGAAGAGGGTGTCAGATCCCCTGGAGCTGGAGTCACAGGCAGTTGTGAGCTGACTGATGTAGCCTTCAGGAACTGAACTCTGGTCCTCTGTAAGAGCAGGAAGTACTCTTAACTACTGACCTATCTTTTCAGCCCCTGTACCCTCCTCGAATAAGTTCCTACTTGATCCAAGCAGTTCTGTCTCCTTGTGATGTCCTGTGTCAGGATGTGTGTGCCAGGATGTGTGTGCCAGGATGTGTGTGCCAGGACGTGTGTGCCAGGATGTGTGTGCATTCGTTCCTTCTGCTGCCTACTGTGTGAAAGTGGCAGTACCTTAAGCAGCAAGTCCGCACCGTGGGCCTCATGTGCAGACGTGAATGGCCAGCATCGAGTGGGCTGGAGAAGGCAGGCCTGCAGTATTGGAGGCCCACGCCCCTCGGTGCTCAGAATACATAGGAATCAGTTAGCTGCACAGCAGTGTGTGCGGCAAAGCATTTGGTAAGCGGTTGAGCTCTGTGCCAGGCTTTCAGGTTTGCTCTGTGAGTGAGGTGGTGAGGACTGGGTGTTGGCAAGCTGGGACACCCAAGGCTGTGATGAGGGTAGCAGTAGATCTGAACCCTGTGCTTCGATGCTTGTGTCTGTGTTGAAGTCAGGGGTAATCAGAACTCACATACCTTAGTCTAGGAAGGAGGGCTCCCCTAGCCCCGGTCACATGATCCCTTCCCATGTAGAGCAGGGGTAAGTATGTACTTGCCTCGTGGGGACTTTGTGGTACAAGAGTGACATATGTCAGGTGTTCGGTGCTGTACCAGGTCACAGGTGGCAAGCTTTGGGCTCCATGTTCTAGGCACGACCCCTGACCTTCACTGTGGCCCTTCCCACCTGTCAGCCAGCCGTCTGTCTCCACCTGGATGCCGACACATGAGACACGTGCATGGTTTCCTTCCGCTTGTCCCTGTCCTGCCCTCCCACTCTGTGAGTGTTACCACCGGCCACCCTGTTGCTCAGGCCCAGGTTGAGGATCCGCCTTTGCCTCCTCCCCTCTCCCTTCACTCACACTGTCCTCTTCTGTGGCAAGTCCAGTCAATTCCAGGCAGAAATGACTCTCGCTCCTCGGCCACTGCTCTAGCGGGAGCCTGGTCACCCCTTCCATCTCTTCCTGCCTCCACAGCCTCGCCACACAGCAGGCCAGGGCCCTGCTCTCGGTGTACCTCAGGGCTGCTCCAATGGGGCCATCCAGGGGCTTCCCTTGGAGTCCAGAGCACTGTACCATTCATTACCTCATCCCACAGGACCTCAACTCCCCTCCAGCCTCGTCTCCACTGTCTCCTTGCTACTTCTCTGTCCAGCCCCAGCAGGCCCCGTCTCTCCTGCCCCAGGGCTGTGCACATCAGGGTTCCTTCACCTGAAATGCTCTCATCTCAGAGGAGCCTCCCATGACCCTCTGTCACAGCTCACAGTTTTATTTCCTTTGTCTCCTTCCCCCTATCTCTCCTTCCCATTTCCGTGTACCCTGGCTAAGTGTGCTCTTGCAGTGGGTCGTGTGTGTGTGTGTGTGTGTGTGTGTGTGTGTGTGTGTGTTTGGTTCTGTCCAGTGGTCGGATGCACATCTAAGCAGCTCACAGTAGGAGGTGGCTGTCAGAGTCAACACCCAGTCCTTTCTCAGCCATCCTCCCTCCTCTCGCCCTGGCTAGGTTACCCCCTCTCTCTCCCCCCACCCTCGCCCGGCCAGTGCCCAGGGAAGGAGGGTAGGCAGGGTAGCTAGCCAAGCTCAACAGATGTTTCTGCCTAGCCCTGAGACTAGAACCTTCCCAAGACAATTCCTGAACAGGCCCAGTGGGATGATCCCTTCTCTAGAGTCGTTCTTGATGGAGGGAGGCTGCCCCAACGTCCCCTTTCCTGTCTCATGTCGAGGTTTGCAGTGACCCTCCTTGTCATGGGTTCTCTGGATGAAGGATAAGGATGCCAGGACAAGTGATGGGTAGTGTCTTACCGCCTCGGGGACCCTTCTGACAGCCCCCCTGTCGCTCAGGCCGAGCCAGTTTCTATGAGGAGTACGGTGTCATCCGTGACACACTGCAGAACCACCTGACGGAGATCCTCACGCTGGTGGCCATGGAACTGCCCCAGAACATCAGCAGCTCAGCCGCCGTGCTACAGCATAAGCTCCAGACCTTCCAGGCCCTGCGGGGGCTGCAGAAGACCAGTGCCATCCTGGGCCAGTACCAGGCCTATAGTGGGCAGGTGCGTCAAGAGCTGCAGAAGCCAGATGGTTTCCAGAGCCTGACACCAACCTTTGCAGGTAGGCACCAGAGCCGGCAGCTGTGGGGCCACCGGCAGCTGGAAGCAGCTGTTCCAGCCAGTGCCCTTTGGAGCGTGGTAGCTTGGACTCCAAAGAATCTTTACAAGAGGGTGCAGTACATTGTGATCACCACCCCCTAGGCCTTCTGCCATTTTAAAGCTGCAGGTCACCTACAGCAGCCTCCATTCAGTTCCAGAAAGGTCTCCTGAGGGCATGCCTGTGGGATTGAGATAGGTGCCACCTTCGTGGGCTGTGTATATGACTTCCATAATATGGCAAACCTCAGTCCAGCCACAGCCAAGGAATGTTCCTGTGGACAGACACCACATTGGCCAGCAGATAGTTGCTAGATCCACCTGGAAAGTTCCAGAAGCCTTTGGGGAGAGCAGCTGGATCCTAGCAGGTAGAGCCCATGACTGTGAGACAGCCCTGCATATAAAGGCCGTCTGATGTGCTGGGCAGCGTATGTACCTCCTCTCAGTCCGTCCTCACACACCCACAGGCAGCTGCAGTTATTGTCCTCGTTGGTGAGGAGACAAGGCGAAAAGGCAGCATCTCAGCTAGGCTTGAACTGGTGTGTAGTATGTCAGCGCCTGCGTCTGTGACTGGGGCTCGCACACACATGCACACATTCCTCCTACTCCATAGACTCCTACCCCCACCCACCTGGCTTCCACTCATGCTTGACTTTGTTTTGGCATTCTGGGGGCTTCACACAAAGAGACGCTGCCTCGGGACACTGCCCTTATCCATCAGGATCCAACATGCCTCCTACCCCTTTTGCCCCACGAGATCCTTCCACGGCAGACTCCAAACCCAGTTAGACCAGGTCTCTCAGAGGGACCTCAGAGTGCTGCTGTTGTGGCCATAGCGTTCACCTTGCTCGCTGTTTCCACCCCTGCCTGGGAAGGAGAAACAGCAGAAGGCACAGTGAGACGGGCTGAGCGGGGCCCGGGATGCAGGGTGGCTGCAGAGCCAGCCAGCAGGCTGCGGCGTCGCTCTCTGTTCTTTCTCCACCTTAGGTGTCCTTGTCCACGTCGACAACCTGCGCTGGGAGGGCGTCCCTTTCCTCTTGATGTCTGGCAAGGCCTTGGACGAAAGAGTGGGCTACGTTCGGATCTTGTTTAAGAACCGGGCATACTGCACCCAGAGCGAGAGGCACTGGGCGTCTGCGCAGAGCCGGTGCCTGCCCCAGCAGATTATCTTCTACATTGGACATGGCGAGCTGGGCCACCCCACCATCCTGGTCAGCCAGAACCTGTTCAAGCCCTACGTCCCTACCCAGAGCTGGACGGAGGTGCAGGGCCAGCCTGGGCTCCGCCTTTTTGGTCGTCCTCTGTCTGATTACTATGCCTATAAACCTGTGCGGGAGCAAGATGCCTACTCCACCCTCTTGTCTCACATCTTCCACTGCCGAAAGGAGTCCTTCATCACCACAGAGAACCTGTTGGCCTCCTGGGTCTTCTGGACCCCCTTACTGGACAGTCTGGCCCTCGAAGTTCCACGCCTTTACCCCGGGGGAGCGGAGAATGGCCATCTGCTGGATTTTGAGTTCAGTGGTGGTCAGCTGTCCTTCTCCCAGCAGCAGCTAGAGGTGTTGATGCCAGAGCTGGGGTCAGTCCCAAAGCCCAGTGACTTCCAGGTCCTCAGGGCCCAGTACAGAGAGAGCCCACTGATCACTGCCTGGCCGGAGGAGCTGATCTCTAAGCTAGCCGGTGACATTGAAGCCACCGCAGTGCAGTCCGTACGACGCTTTGGCAAGTTCCACCTGGCACTGTCAGGGGGTTCCAGCCCCATAGCCCTCTTCCAGCAGCTGGCCACAGGGCATTACAGCTTCCCCTGGGCCCACACACACCTTTGGCTGGTTGATGAGCGCTGCGTCCCTCTCTCAGACCCAGAGTCCAACTTCCAGGGCCTGCAGGCTCATCTGCTGCAGCACGTTAGGGTACCCTACTACAACATTCACCCCATGCCGGTGCACCTGCACCAGCGGCTTTGTGCTGAAGAGGACCAGGGGGCCCAGACCTATGCCAGCGACATCTCAGCCCTGGTGGCCAACAGCAGCTTTGACCTGGTGCTGCTGGGCATGGGCACTGATGGGCACACAGCCTCCCTGTTCCCACAGTCACCCACGGGCCTGGATGGAGATCAGCTGGTGGTGCTGACGGAGAGCCCTTTCAGGCCATACCAGCGCATGAGCCTCAGCCTGCCCCTCATCAACCGTGCCAAGAAGGTAGCTGTCCTGGTCATGGGGAGGACAAAGCGTGAGATCACCATGCTGGTGAGCCGGGTGGGCCATGAGCCCAAGAAGTGGCCCATCTCCGGCGTGCTGCCTCTTTCTGGACAGCTGGTTTGGTACATGGATTACGAGGCCTTTCTGGGATGACAGGCGTACCCTGGTCTCAGTCACTATCGAACTTTCTGTCACCCACTCAATGTGCCCCAGCTGTCCCGAGCCTGGTACCAGAGTCAGGCCCCAGAGAAGGGAGATCGAAATTCTGCCCTGCTTCCTGGGCCCACTGGTTCTGTGTAATTATGGTGCCTGGACACAAAAACAAGGCAGAACTCGGACCTCTGCTTTGGAGATGCCTCGAAACCCAGACAGGAGGGAAACTCTGAGGCCTCTCTCAGTTACTCGTCAGTGTCTGCAACGCAGAATAAGACAGGGAGAGGCTGCACGTTAAAGAACCAGTGTGTGTGTGCAGACTGGCCGGTGGTCCTGGGACCGGTTTCTGTAGGAAGAGGGGCCGGAGTTGGTGGAGAGAAGGATGCAGACTCCTGGTGAGTGGGCCAGGCAAGAAGAGTAGACACAATCCTGGGATTGCACTGGGCAGCTTGCCTCTTCTGGAATCCCGTCATCCCTCTGTGCATCTAGCTGACGTCTGGTCCTTGCTCAGGCAGCTTCTACCTCCTCAGTGCCTGACAGCCCTGTTCTCTCCATTCCCATTGCCCTCAGCCTCTCCCTATATACAAAGGAGAGACAGATACAGACACTGCCTTGTCAACCCCCCCCCCCCCCATCTAAAGACCTGGGCTCCCCTTTCCCCACTGAGATCTGTTCTGCCCTCATGGGGCCACAGGTGTCTCTGATCTATTAGATAGGGTGCTCTGTCTGCTCCTGGGGAGATGACTACAGCTCACAGCCTCTTCCTGGAGTGTATGTGGCCAATTCCCAGCACTAGGGGGCAGGCTGCAGCTAGCCCTCATCACACTACCTCTCTAGGGGCCCCAAGCCTGGCAGCTGACTCTGTGGGTGTCTTCACCTCTCTTCACCACTAACCTGGTACCACTGGGACCAGGACAGACTGCTCCTAACTGCAGCCTCCTCCAGGGCCTCTGCATTTTTATTTTTTAAAAGAAAGCCAACAGCATAAAGCAAACTTCTCAGGGTACGTGAAGCTTTTGTTTTGTCCTCCTGCTTAGTCACATGGACAAGGCAGGGCATAGAAGGGTTACCATGGCCCCTGCCTCCCAGTCACGCTCTGTCGGTCACACAGAGTCTCAGTCTTTCGGAATTTTCCCAGAGAGGGGCTTTCATTTGGTGAGGAGCATCAGGAAAGCTGTTTCTCTACTTTTGACTGTACTTTCTCCCAGGCAGTGCATGCAAGGACCCTTGCTTTCACTAGAGATGTGTGCACAGTGTAGCCTGAGCTGGGGCTCTGTATGAAAGGCACTCTTGTTAAAATTCTGCTTCCTCTGGCCTCCAGTGACCCAGACTGACAGAACACCTCTATTGCAAGAGAGCTACCCTGGGCAGAAAGGACGTGTAATGCCCTGGGGCCCTTTTCTGGCTGGTGCTCACTTTTGTGGCTGGCATCACAGGTAGTTGCAGTGAGGTTCCACTTTTGGCCATGTGGGGGAGCTCACGTGCCACCACTCACATTCCATCCAGGAGGCAAGTTTAGTGCCAAACATCATCTCTTTGTTTTATGCTCTGCCTCTCTGGCTTCTTAGCGTTCTCATCTGTTCTTTAAGGGCTCAGTCCTCTGAAGTTTCAAAATCAGAGAGAAAGGGACTTTGCATGCCCCGGGAGAGAGGGTGAACAGGCTTTGTGTCACCATGCTGAATAACAGTGAGTCACTGCCCAGCCTGAGCTTAGAATGTCTTGTTCTTACCCAGAAGAATGACTCGCCTCTATCTGTGGGGAGTTGCACAGGGGAGGCCAGTGTGGGGAAATACCAAAGATTTCCTTTCCGGAAGCAAGCACTAATAAAACCGCGTTGGAAAGGTTGGTGGGAGACGTTGTCAGAGTTCTTGGCATGCACCTGTGCGTGCCCTTTCCCTTTCTGCCCCAGGGTTAGGAAGGAGTGATGCTCAGAGTCAGGACCACCGAGGCTGCTGCTCTTCAGACCCTGTGGTCCATCATCTACAGCAAGCAGTCACATAATTGGTGTCTTGAGTCTCAGGAAGGAGTTCTCAGCCTTAGAACCTGGGATACCCTCAATTTTCTATTTTTCATTAAAAAAATTGTTGCTTGCAAATCACTTATGCTGCGTTGATAACAGTGTGAAGAACACACCTCTGTCAGCTTGCTGCCTGTCAGGAAGTGGGGATCTGAGGCTGGGAAGAGTGGATGGGTGTCCAGGTCCCTGGGGAGAGGGGGATGGATGGTCACTTGTGTCTGGGACACAGCCTTCCCTCCCTGAAGTCCACTTCCATGCATGCTTCCCCAGTGAAGTGAGGTCCCCGCAGCTGTGGGGACCTCTGACCTTGCAAGCATTCACCCTGTGCTGGCTCAGAGCCCCAGTGGATGCTGCTGACTGCATCCCCATCCCTCCCTTAGGGAGGGGAAGGGAGGGAGGGGGGAGGAAACAGTGGAAGCCTCTGTTGCTCAGGTGGCTCTTGTGTGTCCTGTGCTGACGATAGCACACCTTGTCCTGCTGACAGGCCAGTTTGCTGCCGGTGGGACCTCAGTGACTGATGATTTGAAACTGGAGTCCAGTGGCAGCCAGAAACTCTGTTAGGTTCTAGAGCCCGTTCTCAGCACCCACAAGGGCCTCATGTGGCAGTCAGGTTCCCTGAATGGGCCCGTGATTCCTCCGTGGGAAGAATGTAGGCCATGTGAGTGGCAGAAGGAGCCCTTGGGGTGACATGCCAGTTAACATCTCCAGCACAAACATTGCATCTGGGTGTCACAAGCTAGATCTGACTTCCAGTCCTGGGCAAGTGTTCTTGCTAATTAATTGTACGCTAAATGGTCCCAACTTCTTAATTTCTGCTTCTTTTTCTTATGATTAATTTTTTTAGTTTTATGTGCATTGGTGTTTTGCCTGCATATGTGTCTATGTGAGGGAGTCAGATCCCCAGAGCTGGAGTTACAGACAGTTGTGAGCTGCCATGTGGGTGTTGGGAATTGAACCCGGTCCTCTGGAAGAGCTGATAGTGCTCCTAACCACGGAGCCATCTCTCCAGCCCATATTCCCTGCTTCTTATTGCCCTACAAAAATACTCTCTTTTCACTTTGGCCCCCAAATTATCAGTGTAATCAGAGCTCCCTGCCACTTGTACCGATACCTTAGACCTTTCCCTCAAGGGCCTTCTCCCAGAAACGAAACCAGGCTTCATCCCCCAGTTCTCCTTGTTGCCCAGTTTCCCTCTTCCCCCATCCTGACAGAGAGCCAGGAGCGCGTGATGGAAAAGGGAATGAAGAAGCTTCCAGAAAGCCTAAATGGGGCAAATTCTTGGAATTTAATTTTCAGGAACTTTTTTTTTTTCCTACAACGTGTGTACTGCCCCACTGAGTGGCCCTGCGGCAGATCCCCACTGAGTGGCCCTGCAGCAGATCCCCACTGAGTGGCCCTGTTGCAGATCCCCAGAGTGGCCCTGTGGCAGATCCCCAGAGTGGCCCTGCGGCAGATTCCCACAGAGTGGCCCTGCGGCAGATTCCCACAGAGTGGCCCTGCGGCAGATTCCCACAGAGTGACCCTGTGGCAGATCCCCAGCTGTATTTTTATCTTAAACAGCTGGGGCTCCCGCAGCCCTCAGTCTACTGGTAGAAAAACCACCTGGCAATATCCAGTGTCAGGGAAGGAGCCACAGGTGGAGGTGGGGGGGGGTCACATTGGTTGGCCAAAGTGGTCAGCACATGCCTGCCCTGGGAATGACGCTCCAGATGAACCAAGGGTCTGAACGGGCTGCTGTCCCCAGATGTCACAACTGCACAGGTCATGAGGCTTTCTGCAGGCCACACTGGAGGAAGCAGGCCCTTCTGCTCCCTGCGTTCCTCTCCCCAGCTCCCAGCTCTCCTGCGGCAGTTCTGCACCCCAGTGTCTCACCCCCAAGGTCATGCTGTGTGTGGCCCAGGGACCTTGAAGACATGCTCATGCCTTGGTTTGGCAGCATATCTATGGGAGAAAGGATTGCACTCAGGAGTTAGTCAGAACGCAACCCAAACCAGCAGTCGGGGTGGGTCTGCACTGCTTTGTCTGGGCCCGTTTTAATTGCAGTGGTGGGGATGCCCAGTTGAAGATGAGATCCGTTCCTGACTCAGCCCTGCCTGCACTTACCTTGAGCCCATCAGAGCTGGCGTTAGCTGCACTGTCGTTCAGTTGGTTGCACATATGTCTTTTGCTTGCCTCATGCTGCAGCCCACGTGGGCTCTAGACACAAGGCTGCCCTGCCTCCAGCCCTTCCCGCTCCACAGCAGAACTGACCCTCCAGGTATCTAGGGAGTCCTTGCAAGAGTGTGGCCTCTGGGAAGGGGGGAGCAGGGCTCAAACCAAAATGTGTTCCTGGAAGATGCAAGGGGCAGATGTCTTCCAGGAACACCAAATCCTGTCTTCTGCAGGCTAGTGGCACCTTCTGCAGGTTCTTCACACCTAGAGATGGATGTGAGGAACCCCGAGAATCCTTCACCTCCTAGCTGAGGAAGGTGTCAATTCACCACTGCTGTCACCAGCACAAGACATCCTGGCAAGTGATCTGAGGATGCATCACTGTGATCTAGCAAGCCATGGGGACTGAGACAGCTTGGATGTATTGTCCCTTCAGCCATCCCACATTGGGAGTATATTTATTTGCATCCAAGGGGATGTCCATGTCTGTGTGTGACCATGGACAAGGCCTCAAATTAATGACACTCTGTTCATTCTTTGTCCTCCAAGGGTGAGCTTTGTTAAAGCTCCGTGTTGCTTCAGTGGCTGGTGTTTTCAAGGAAGTCCGTGTGTCTTTTCTGTCCCTTTCTGTCGAGTGGCAAATAATCTGTATTTGCCAAGCACTGTTGAGTTCATGAACAGCTGGGAGTTGGCACCGAGAGTACAGGTGTACACCGAGTGTGTGTGTGTGTGTGTGTGTGTGGTCTCTGGCTGTGCCTCACAGAGGGCTGGTTATGATGCATTATGCTCAACTGATAGAACACTTGCCTAACATGCAAAAAGCCCTGGGTTCCATTCCCACTGCCACATAAACTAGGCGTGATGCTATACACCTGTAATCCTAGGAGGTGGAGGCGGGAGGACCGGGAATTCAAGGCTATCCTTGGCTACATAGCAAGGTCAAACCAGCCTGGATAGATGAGATCCTGTTTCAAAAAAAGCCTTGTGAATGAAAAAGGTAAGGACTAGGTTAGCTGGGAGTGAGAATACCCAAGTTGTTTCCCTCAGTGTCTCTGGGGGGTCTGGTCCAGTTGACTCTTCCTGTGTCTGTTCACGTGGGAGAGCCGGGTGAGTGGACTCCAGGAGTTACCAGGGCCTCTCCTGCCCACCCGTGCCTGCGTGAGGAGCCTGAGTCCCCAGAGACCGTTGGACTTCTGAGTCACCCTGACAAACACCGAAGGAGGAAGGATTTATTTTGACTCATGGGTCATTTTAGCCCAAGGTCACTTGACTGTGTTGTTTGTGGGCCAGAATTGAGGCAGAATGTCATGGTGTGAGCATAGTGACCCAGAAGTGGGATAGAAGAGGCAGTGAAGGGGCAAGAGACAAGCATGTCCTCTACAGGCACACTCTTGGGGACCTGCTTTCTCCAGCGAAGGCTGACCTGTCACCTCTGAGAATGCTCTCATATTATAAAGTCAGCAGGGGATTAATGCATCCGTGACGTCAGCTTCTTCAGGACAGTTCTCCCAAGACCACCAGCTGCAGCCCAGCTGCCCATGCATGAGTCTGCAGACAGATTCCACACAAGGTGTCACAGAAGGTCACTACCATGCTGAGCGCCTGGGGCGGGGTTGTGCTCTTACTCTCTGCTGGATAGAAGGGAACTGGGGGTCTGGGCCTTTGTCAGGTCAGAATGGCAGTGGGCAGTGGCATAGGTGGGAATGTCCAGGAGCAAGAATGTGGGTTTTTCCCCCCCATGAGGGAAACTCCCCCAATCTTAGGGAGACTGGCACCTGCCTCAGAGAATGAGAGACATTCAGAATAAGTGCCTTTTAAAACTTTCTGAGACTCTTTATGTTTTTCTGTATATAAAATGTAACATTGATTTTTTTTAAACAATAAACTTGTTTATTTGCCAAAATCCAAGTTTCTTGCTTTGGGGGATGGAGTGAATTGGGTTGTATGTAGCTAGAGTTTTCCTGCCTGGTCCACAGTCAGGACAAATCTCTCTCACCCACCAGTCCCACAGCCGCTCAGACCCAACCAAGTAAACATAGAGACTTATATTGCTTACAAACTGTATGGCCGTACCAGGCTTCTTGCTAACTGTTCTTATATCTTAAATTAATCCATTCTATAAATCTATACCTTGCCACGTGGCTTGTGGCTTACTGGCATCTTCATATGCTGTTTGTCATGGCGGTGTCTGGCAGTGTCTCTGACTCAGCCTTCCACTTCCCAGAATTCTTCTCCTCCTTGTCCCGCCTATACTTCCTCCTGCCTGACTACTGGCCATTTTTTTTTATTTACTAACCAATCATAGCAACATATTTGACATACAGAACATCCCACAGCAGTTGTGAGCCTGACTAATGTGACAGAGGAGGGGATGTGGAACAGAGTTAGTGCTTGTCAACCTGACACAGGCTAGAGTCACCTGGGAAGAGAGAGATCCTCTTTTGGTTCCCTAGGGAACCTCCACACACAGAGAGATATGCACACACACACACACACACACACACACACACACACACATGCATGTATGCATACACAGACACACATAATGCACACATATACACACACTCATATACATAATTTTTTTTCTGAGAGGATTTCTCTGTGTAGCCCTGGCTATCCTGGAACTCACTCTGTAGACCAGACTGGCTTTGAACTCAGAGATCCTCCTGCCTCTGTC